GCCCAACTAATTTTTGATTTATTGTAGAGATGAGGTCTTGCCAAGTTGCCCAGGCGGGTCTCGAACCCTCAGGTTCAGGCAATCCACCCACCTCAGCCTCCCAAAGTGCTGGGATTACAGGCTGAACCACCGAGCCTGGCTGAGAAGTATATCTTTAAAAAGTCTTTTATGTTTTGACTGTATTTACCTTTCCTGTGTTTGGATATGTTTAGATACACAAATACCACTGTGTTACAATTGCCTACTGTGCTTAGTACAGTAACATGCTGTACAGGTTTGTATCCTAGGAGCAATAGGCTAGGCCATATAACCTAGCTGTGTAAGCTGGCCACCTAGGTTTGTGTAAGTACACTCTATGGTGCTTGCATGATAAATTATCTAGCAAGGCATTTCTCAGAATGTATCCTGTTGTTAAGTGACTCATGACTGTGCTTTTAGCATTTCATTGTTTTTACTGACACTTTATGTACTTACTTTGATTTTAAAATTGGATAAAGACATATTTTCCACAAAGAGAAAAAACAACCCTCATTTTTTTTTTTTTTTTTTGAGTTGGAGTCTCACTGTTGCCCAGACTGGAATGCAGTGGCCACTCTCGGCCACCGCAGCCTCGACCTGCTGGGCTCCGGCGATCCTTCCGTTTCAGCCTTCCGAGTAGCCGGAATTACAGGCGCGCTACCACACCCGGCTAATTTTTTATTTATTGTAGAGATGAGGTCTCACCTGCCCAGGCGGGTCTCAAACCCATGGGCTCAGGCAATTCACTCACCTCAGCCTCCCAAAGGCGCGGGATTACAGGCTGAGCTACCGAGCCCGGCTGTAACCCTCATTTTTATTATACGACCTTGATCCAATTTTTTTCTCAGGTTCTTCAACACTCCCAAAAGTTTTTCCATTTTTTCCAGTTTGAAAATTTGGAAAATAACGTAGAAGAGAGTGATGCAATACAATATTTTTATGTATTTTAAATAAAATGAATCTTTATTTAAGATTTATGATCCTGGGCTGGGCTCGGTGGCTCAGCCTGTAATCCCGCTTTGGGAGGCCGAGATGAGTGAATTACCTGAGCCCATGAGTTAAGACCCGCCTGGGTAACTTGGCGAGACCTCATCTCTACAATAAATCAAAAAAATTAGCCGGGCGTGGTAGTGTGCGCCTGTAGTTCCAGCTACTTGGAAGGCTGAGGCGGAAGGACTGCCGGAGCCCAACAAGTCGAGGCTGCGGTGGCTGGGAGCGGCCACTGCACTCCAGTCTGGGTGACAGAGTGAGAATCCAACTGAAAAAAAAAAAAAAAAAGATTTATGATCCTTATAAAGATAAATTGTGACATACTACTACAACGTTTCAAAACCTTGGCTGGAAATAATATATCATCTGTTCCAAGTACTTTCCTACTAAAAATGTGCTAGACATTTGGAATATTAAGAATCAAATAGAATGTCCATCACATTTGTTATGCATAGTTTATTTACCTCCTTAGATTGGTCTGAAATTGTATTATTATTATCAAAATTATTATTATTATTATTATTATTATGAGTCTGGGTCTCTGTCACCCAGGCTGGAGGGCACTGGCATGACATGGCTCACTGCAGCCTCGACTTTCCAGGCTCGGGCAATCCGGCTATCCCAGTCTCCTGCGTAGCTGAGACTAAAAGCATGCATTATCATGACTGGTTAATTTTTAAATTTTTTTGTAGAGACAGGGTCTCACTATGCTGCTAGGCTGGTCTTAAAATCCTGAGCTCAAGCAATCCTCTCACTCTGGCTTCCCAAAGTGCTAAGATTATAGGCGTGAGTCACCACACTCAGCTTTAAGGTGTGATTCCCCTTGTATTTAGTAATAATGACAACAACATATAACAAAAGAAAGCATGCTTCTGTATCACAGGCACTCAGCAACACAGAGAGGGCACTCTCATCCTGAATAATTTCTTTTTTTTTTTTTTT